TAGTTACCTTGATAAGAAAGAATCAGGGTAGGGATCTCTGGAAAGATGGAGGACCTCGGGCCCTTTGTTCCCAGCTGTTTTTATGGGGGTTAGTGACCCCCCCCCACATCTGGAACTTGCCATAACTGGATTGGCTTCTGGGCACCTCTGCCTAACATCATTTCTTCTGGAGGTCTGTGGACAGCTTCTTTCTGTCTGTTTTCTTGCCCTTGACCTACCTTTTAAGGCCTTTTCATTGGCAAGCTGGTACCTTATTCGTGGTTAGCTTAGAGTAGGTAAGGGGGCCTGTGGATATCAGTGAATATAAATTCAACTTTACTTTCTTTTTTGGTGCCGGGGATTGAACTCAGGACCTTGTGTTTTCAAGGCAGGCGGCGGAACCACTGAGCTAAATCGCCGGCCCTATCTGTTCTACTTTATGATGACCCTAGAGTGAATAACATAGTGACTGGAGTGAATACACATGCGTGTATGTATATGTTAGTGCACAGGTGTAAGTACACACTGCCTTGAAGTTAGTCCTCTACCCTTGCTTTGCCTGTATTTTATTGAAAGTGGGGGTGGCTTATCATTTGGGCACTTGGCTTTCTCTTCGTCTTCCTGACAGCTCTTTCTCTGATCTCTTGGTGCAAGCCCCAAGGGCATTTGGTGCCTTTCTTTATCTCTCCCCTCCCCTCTCCTTTCCTTCCTTTCTTTTCTTCCCCTGTCTTTGACTTGCTTCCCAGAGGAATCTCTCTAAGTTTGTTTTTAACTCCTACTCAGGATTAGCTAGAAGACTTAAGGAGGCCCCTATTTTACTTTTTGTCTGCAGACCCTGTCCCTACACTTCCAACATAGCATGGTGGGAGAGGCATAGGATAGATTCCCCATTCCCAGAGGGAGACAATGATAGGAAATTACTGGTCCCCACCAAAGCTCCAGACCTAGCGAATTAGACTTTAATGTTAAGAATAACCCTTGTCTGGCTCCTTTGCCTTCCTGAGCAGCGGTGGGGCTGGGGACTGGGGGCTGCATCCACAGCTCTGCGGGGGGTTGGGGGGGTCGTTCCAGCCTGCAGAACCATGGTGAGGGCAGCACTGCCCCCTGGCAGCCCTCCCAACCTGCTTGGGCCATGCCTGCAGAGGGCAGTTTCCATGGTGTGAGTTGTGTTGGGGGCCCTTCCTTTGTCCTGGAGGAGAATAGTACAGGAAGAGGACAGAGGGCTCTTGGGAGCCAGGGTCATTCATGGCTGAATGAATGGCTAATGGTCAGGTCCTGTGGGATCTAAGAAGTCTGACAGCGTTCCTTCATTTCCTTCCTCTGTCCTCATAGGTCCAAGCTTGGCAGTGTTTTTTTTGCCAGGGTGACTGATTAGGTTTAAAGTCATTCTAATGATTTTTGGACTACATGCTTGTGATTCTCTGCCAAAAAAAAAAAAAAAAAGTAAACATCTTATTGTTTTAATAATCAATTTCTGGTAACTTCAATATGTAAAGCCCCTGTGGATATTTTTATTGTCAGTTATTACTGTTCTTTTCTATTCATGTTGTCGCATCCTTTATTGTTCCTGGAAAGTTTTTTTTGTTTTGTTTTTTTTCTTTCCTTGGTACGGGGGATTAAACTTGGGTCCTTGCGCTTGCAAGTCAGGCCACCGAACCGCTGAGCTAGATCCTCGGCCCTGGAAAGTTTTGATTGTGTGCCTAACTTTGTATTTTCCAAATCACCTGTGGAACTCTGAAGCTCTCCTGGGAGGATTTATGTTGCTTCTTCATCCTGCCCTAATTGCAGAGACTAGGATGATGAGAAGCTAGGTCTGCTCAGTTTTTCCTTTCTTCCCAAGGTGTACAGCTTTTTAGGTGCCTGCACACATGAATAGTGAGGGGTCCAATCCCTGTCATCTCAGCCTCCTGAAGCTTCCAGAAGCTGTGTATCCTCCCTGCTGCCCTTCTGAAATTGGCTGATGCGCCTTGGAGAAGGAGAGTGGGTGCCAGGCTGATCTCTTGATCTTTGTTCCTAGCCTCACTGACTCAGCCGTGGAGCCTAGACTTTCCTCCTGTGTCAGTTCCTTCCACAGCCTTCACAGTTTTGTTTTTTTTTTTTTTCCTGATATCAGGAATTGAACTCAGGTCCTGCTCTTGCCAGGGTGGCTTGGTGCCACTGAGCTAAATCCCCAGCCCTGCACTGACTTTTTCATTTTTATTTTTTGTTTTTTTGAGACAGGGTCTTGCTATGTAGGCTAGGCTGTCTTTGAACTTGTTGTATAGCCTGCTGAATTTTCTGTAATGCTCGGTTTTCACTGCTTTATTTTATTTTTTTATTTATTTGACCAGGCTGGCCTGAACTTTTGATCTTCCTGCCTCAATCTCCCCTGTGGCTAAATTATAGGCATATGCTACCAGGCCCAGCTCAGCTTCACAGTAATTTTTTTTTTCTCCAGTACTGAGGATTGAACCCAGGACTTTCTCGCAGAGCTACTTCCTCAGCCCTTATTTTGAGATGGTCTTGCTAAATCGCTAAATTCTCTAGGCTGGGCTTGAACTTGGTCATCCTCCTGCCTCAGCCTCCAAAACTGCTGGTATTACAGATGTGTGCCGCCATGCCTGGCTTCATCCTGATTTTTGACCTGTATCATCAGTTTGATGTGTTTGCTAATTTCCTTTATGATTGCATTTTTAATACACTATAACTCAATTAAAATTTTTTTGTCATTTTGTACATTCAGTTAATTTCTCAAACTGGGTATTGTGGCTGGTGGTGCATGCCTGTAATCCTAGCACTTGGGAGGCTGAGATAGGAATTCGAGGCCAGCTTGGGCTACATAGTGAGTTCAAGGCTAGCCTGCACTACAGCGTGAACCCGTCTCAAACCACCTCCCCAAAAATCTCAAGGGATGGGGTTTTGTTTTTTTCCTGCTGTTGCTTTTGCTTTTGTTATTAGTGTTGTAACAATGTAGTCTTCTGCAGTTGTGTTTCTAACCCCATCCTGTTGTGGTCAGAGATACTTGGTGTATCCACTGTGTGAAAGGAGGCTTGTTCTGTGCCCCATCTGCCCCTGGTGTCCCTGAGACGCTCCTGTGGTGTTGCCGTCAGAGACCCTTGTATGTGTGATGTTCTATGATGTTCGTCCTTTGAGGCCGTGGCTGCATAGTGTGCAGTCGCTGTGGTATGTGTTGTGTGCGTGCCGTCCGTAGTGTGTTCACACCTGTGTGCAGGTGGGGTTTTGACACGTTTACTCATGAGCTTTCCTCTTTCCAGTGTACCTACCTCTACAGAGCCTTGGGAGCAGCTGGGCTCGGCGCTGAGGTTTCGATCCAGCTTTGACGACGACCCCATGTCAGGGTAAATAAAACCTATGGGCTGTGTGTGTCTTCCTTAGATGGGCTCAGGTGAGGCCTGTGGGGGTACTGATCCCCAGTACCAAAAAAAAAAAACAACAGAAAAACAAAACCTAGATTGAGTGTCCCGGGACCCACCTGAGTCCATATTGCCAGAGGTGAAGGGGTTGGGCAACAGGTGACTGAAGGGCAGAGTGACAGGGGATGGAGGGCAGGCAGGTGGACTGCAGTGTGCCGGGAAGGTGATGGGAGGCTGCGCAAGATGGCAGCAAGGTGGCCCTTACATGGTGATGAGGTCATGGTGACTGTGGTGACAGTGCTAGGCACTGGTGGCAGCAAGGTGACAGTGGTGAGCATGGGACAGTGGAGCCACCACAGTTATACCTCAGGGTTTGTGGATCACAGTGCGTGTGTGAAGACACGTATCTCAGGGCTCCAGGGAGCAGCCCTGTCCCTTAACTCTAGTCTGTTAGGCTAGGTTTTGTCCTTCCTATTGGCACCGTGACAGCTGTGGTGGCCCATGTTTGTGTGGGCAGAGGGGATGTGTAGCCACGCGTGCATCGTTTTCCTGGCTGGATCCGTTCCACAGCTGCTGGTGTCCTCCCTGTGTGGCTGAAAGCCACTCTTAGACGAAGCTCACATGGGTCCCTTTGGGGTCTCGGCCTGCCCTGTCCTGCCCTGTGGCCTCCCTGGCTGCAGTGGAATCTGGGAAGTGCTCCTGTGAGTGTAGCTGCCCCTACCTGCACACCCCAGCATGCCGGACCCAGCAGGATGGAGACTGAGTTCTACATCAGAGGGCCCAGGAGTCAGGGCTTCCAGGGCCCCCAAGAGAGATTCTGAGGCCCAGCTGGGACAGGCCCTGAGGTGGACATAGCCTAGTGCATTCAAAAGCTGAAAGCGGAGTGATGTAGCTGGGCCAGAGGGAAGCTGAGAGTCCAGGACCGTCCCAGGCTTTGTGAATCTAGCAAGAAGTTTTATTTCCGTTGTTAATTAAAGATTGAAATTTGCTTTGTTTCACTCTCTAGTTAAACCCCAGATATTCTTCTTTAATTGGCACCTGTAGTATACAGAATAACAGTTCAGTGTATAATTATAAAGCAGACTCTTATGTGGTCCCCAGAGCTAGAGGAGGAGCCTTTGTAGGCAGGCATTTGAGCAGGGGGTGACATGATCAGACTTGGCAGGGTGGTGCTGCAGGAAGCAGCTGCATCCTGGGGAGGCCAGGTAGTGCCTTGGGGAGCTTGCTGGTGGGAGAAGAGGAAGACTGGGGACAGGCTAGACATGACTTCTGTGTCAGCTGGAGCCTAGGGCCACTCATGGATGTAGGTGGATGAAGGTGCTTGTCTCGGAGGGTACAGCGGGCAGGCAGATGGGGCTAGGGCTTGGGGAACTGGAGGTGAGCCAGTGTGTGGCTCGGACACATTGAAGAGACTCCAGGGAGCTGCTCTGGGCAGCAGAGGTGCAGTCAGAGGCCAGGCAAGCCAGGAGGCAGCCAGTGCCCGGCTCCTTTCTTCCCGTCCTGGCTCTCTTCCAGCTGCTGCCTCTGCTGATCCTCTGGGCTTGGGCCTGGGCCAGTCTGTGTCTTTAAGAGGGTGGTTACAGGCCTGGGTGCGCCTCCTTCCTGTTGATGACGTCAGGGAGGGGAAGGAGGACTGAGGAGATTCGCTTTTTTTTTTTTTTTTCCCAGAAATGGGAGGAGATTGAGACTGAGTGGCCGGATGAAAAGGGAAAGTCCAGGCCCACAGGAGGCCCCTGGGTGAAGGCAGAGGCTAACATGGGGTGAGCTTGGATGTCATTCTGTAGAGGGAGACTGACAGAGACACAGGGCTTGTTCCAGAGCTGATGTTGGCCTTGTGAATGTGTGTATGCTCCTCTCTTTGGGCAGACACCTATGACTGTCATGGGGGCTTGTCCTTGGCCACCTGGTGGTGATGACTCCTTTCTGGGTGCTTGTGTGGGTACTTTTGAGCCTCAAGTATGAAGGCCTGTTCCCAGTCTGTCCCTTAGTTGAGGGCTGGGCCCTGCTGAAGTCCTGCTGCCCCTCTGAGCAGGTTGCTGGAAGTCCCTGGGTGGGACCCACACCCTTTCTGGCCTCTGGTGCCCATGCCTTGTAGCTGATAGAGCTCCTTCAGTTACCAAGCATTTGTCTTTTATTAGAATATAGCGGGGCTCCTGGCAACAGGGCAGGATAGGAATGTCTGCCTTTGGAAGTCCTTTGTGATGAACTTCCTGCCTGGAGCCTGCTTTTGACAAGATCAAGCCCACTGTTCCACAGAGGTTTACATTTCCAGAAAGCATTCCCTCTGTCTAGCCCACAGTATCCTGCCATCTGCCCTTAACTTTGTGACCTGGAAGTAGACGTACTGGTTGGTGGGGGTTGAGTAGGGGACTGGGTGGGAAGACAGCACCTCAAGCCTCTTCCTGCTCTTCTATCCTTTTTCATTCTCATGGTTCCTCAGTCTGTCTTCCAGATCTCTGCCTGACACTGGACTGGGCTTCTGGACTGGGCTGGGCTCTCACTGCCGTGTTTTCACTCAGATTCCGCACGGCCTGGCTTGTGACATATGCGTGACATTTGTGTGATGTGAGGCTGGTGGGGTGGGCCAGGTGTCTGGGTTGTAGTATAATCCCATCCATGCATAGGAGCTTTACACAGACTCCCAGATGACCTGTTTGACAGGTGAGGAAACTGAGGTCAAAACAGGTTCAAGTTATACAACCAGGATGTGTCTTTGTTGCCCAGAATCCCTTTGGGCAAATGAGTTGCCCCCTGGGACTGGGTTCGGAGTGGACTTGGGGAGGGCCAGGTCATGACCAGCTCTTTGGCAGGTTTGGAGCAACTGTAGCCATTGGCTTGACCATCTTTGTGCTGTCTGTTGTGACCATCATCATCTGCTTCACCTGCTCCTGCTGCTGTTTGTACAAGATGTGCCGCCGGCCTCGACGTAAGCAGTCCCCCACCCCCACCCACCCCATTATTTCCCTTGTGTGCAGGTACAGATCCCTAGGTGGGCAAGAGGAGCTGACCAGGCCCCTGCTTGGGCTAAGCCAGAGGGATAGAGGGCAGACCTGGCCTCACACCTGGGAATCTGGCTCACCTTGACTGGGATTCTTTTTGCAGCCATTGTGACCACCACCACGGCTACCACTGTGGTGCATGCCCCTTACCCTCAGCCTCCAAGCGCACCCCCTAGCTACCCTGGACCGACGTACCAGGGCTACCACCCCATGCCCCCCCAGCCGGGGATGCCAGCAGCACCTTACCCGATGCAGTACCCACCACCCTACCCAGCCCAGCCCATGGGGCCTCCAGCCTACCATGAGACCTTGACTGGTGAGTGACTCTGTGTGGACTCTGTGACCCTGCCTGGCCCCCCACTTCCCTCCTCTGCCCCACAGGTATCCATCCATGCTGGATACCAGTCTCTGTTGGAGCCTACCATGCCCACAGCTAACCAGTGTTCTCTACTTTCAGGAGGTGCAGCTGCCAGTCAGCCTCCATACAACCCAGCCTATGTGGACCCCCCGAAGGCAGTCCCTTGAGTGTACCCCATCTCTCTGGGTGCCACTGAATCGTGTGCGTGCGTGTGTGTGTGTGTGTGTGTGGTATATAGGCACAGTTTTTACTACCCTATGTACATTGTATGTGACGTGTGGCTTCCTCTGATGTCAACCGGGTGAGCTAGGACCAAACTTTGTTTTCTTCACTTGGAATTATACGTCCTGAAATCTCAAGCAAATTTGAAGAATGGAGTGGGCAGTCTTTCCCAGCTCACCCCAGAGTGACTAGGTGCCACCTGTCACACTAGGTTAGCATAGCTTTTTTGGGCATCATTCAAATGCCTGGTTGTGGGAATGGCCAGCCAGTGCCAGTGATGGGCTCTCCCCAAGGCCCAGTCCTCTGGGCAGATGTTTGGTTGTCCCCTGTGCCATGCTCACTGGAGGTTGGTCAGCTCCTAAGCTGGGAACACTCAGGCAGACCCTGCCCACCTGACAGCTCCCTGTCCCAGCTGTCCCTGCAGCCTCCCTGGGACTGCCTGGGCAGCCAGTGCACTCGAGTCTAGTGGCCCATGGAGAAGCTTTCCTGCCCTTGCTGAACTGGCTCCTGCCACAGGTGGGCAGTGGGGTCTCTGTCCACCAACACACTCAGGTCTCCCTGCAGTGTTTTTGTGTTACTTTTAGCCAAACATTTTACTTGTCTGTTTAAAAATGTGATAGCTGATGTTAGGCTTTGAAATGTGTGGAGAATAGTTCTACAGAAGAGGGGACGACCTGACCTCTGGTAGTCCCTGCTTGCCCTGACAGCAGCTTCATAGAATATCCAACTCCAGTACCCAGGTCACAGTTTGTCCCGGCAGCAGGGACACAAGGGCCAAGGGGCTCTCTGGACGAAAGGGGGATGGTAGGCGTGGGTGGCATCTCTGGCCCCAACTTGAATACCTCGGAGTTCCCCGTCACTATTAATGTCTTACCAGCTGTCTTAGCTTTGTATCTGTTGTGTTTCTGAGAGCCTGAGCTCTATTTGTTTATAATAAATGAAAACATTTGGAGTTGCTGCCCCCTTTCTTCACAGCCTTGGCTGCTGGAATTGGTTCTTGGGCAGAATATTGTTTCCACCTGCCTTTTTTATTTGTTTGAGGCAGTGTCTTGATTTGTAGCCCAGGCTGGCCTTGAACTCACAGTGATCCTCCTGCCTCAGCCTCCTGAGTGCTGGGATCAGAGGTGTGCGCCACCATGCCTGGTCCTGCACACCATTTGGATTTCTGTGTTTCGCCTACTTTTACTGAGGCTTGGAGTTTTTGGTAGAATAGCAAGGGAAAAGGAATATGCCTGCCCCCCACCCCCTGGTTCCAGGCCGCAAAGTATCAAAGAGTATGGGGTAGTTGCCATTCAGGGCTAAGGAGACCTTTATTTGTCAAATTTTCTTTCTCAGTCTATTTCCCAGGTGTGGCCAGGGATAGTCCATACAGTGTGGCTATTGCTAAGGTCAGGAAAGCCAGCAGCCCCAGGGGGGCCAGCAGCCCTTCCCGTGATGGGGTCCCAGGGACCTTTGTTGGAGGAGAAGCCTTAGGTCTTCCATTCCTTTTGAGGTTGGGACTACTGTTTCTAGCTGTGGCCACAGTCGCCTTGGCTGGGATAACAGATGGCCTTGGGTTGGTTCCAGGGGAGGCTGTGACCCCATACATGGGTTTGATGGTGCTAAAGGGCCTGGCATGAGCATCTACCCACTGCAGCAGGGCCTGTGGTCTCCACTGGCAGATGCTGAGCAGGGAAAGGACATCCCCCTCAGCTGTGTGCGAGTCCACTGGGGCCTGCCCATATAGGCGGGTATAGATACTGCCCAGGCTGTAGCTCCTCCTTGAGCCACACTCTGAGGTACTGCTGTCTTGCTCCAGGGCCTTCAGGGCAGCAATGCTGTCCACACAGAAGGCACCATCCAGAGCACCTCCAAGTCCCAGCATAGTCAGCTCTGCCTGGAGCAAGGGGAAATCGTAACGATCACCGTTGTGGGCTATGAGGCACCAGGGCCGTGGCTGGCGCTGGAGGAAGGCTAGGAGCAGGTTGGCCAGGTTGTTGTCAAAATGCTGCCGCCCGTGTGCTGTGAGTTCAGCTGTGCTCAGACCTGTGATCTTGCTGGCTGCAGGGTTACAGGCCTTCCCTGGAGCCACGCACAAGGAGAGCTTGTCTACCACACGGGGTGGTAGGGGCACTGCAGGTGGTCGCCCTTGGGGTGTGGAGCTGCTCTCCAGGGCACATCTGTGGATGGCTAGTAGACACAGCTCTGTGATCTTGGGCTGGGAGAAGGGCAGGCCGGTGGCTTCCAGGTCCAAGAAGATGAGGGTCTGCATGGGAGCACGAGGCAGGGCCTGTGAGCCCATGTCTGGGTAGGAACCTGCCAGAGCCTGGGGAGGAGCATGGATTAGGGGTGGTTCATGTGGGAAGAATTACGGTGGGCAGAAATGCGGGGGAGCAAGGGTAGCACCAGGGGAGTGGGCAGAAGCACCTCTTAGGCACTGTCTAGCTCTAAGGCCCATTTTCAAGGCAGGAAGCTGGAGCCAGTGGGTGGTTTCCTCAGTGGGCCAAACTTTGCTGTCCATGTGGGGAAGGTTCTCTTCCTCACATAGGTCTGGCTTTTCTAGTGCCCACCTGGTCCACAGTGGGGGAAACCCACAGCCTTCCTCCCCCTGCCCCACCCTCACTGGTTTGTACTTACGGGGCAGACGGGCGTGCAGGCAGGCAGGCAGGCAGGCAAGCAAGTGCTTGTGTGCACTCTGCTCCTCCCGCTGCTGGCAGCAGTGCCGGAAGTGAAACTTGGCCTGGGCCCGCCCACTGACTGGCCTCGTGAGCAAGGCCTGCCCCGCTTGCTCATCAGTTGGCTCTTGGCTCGCTATGTCCCTCTGGGCCAACACCTCTTCCTCCCAGGAACCCCGAGGCATCCGTGAGAGCCCCAGGGGAAAACTAGTGCCTGAGTTGTCCTGGAGTTGCTCCAGGTCTCAAGCATTTCTAGGAGTCCAGCTGTACTTCTGCAGCTAGTCCTTGGTCTGCTTTCCAGGCCTTCCTGGTTTAAGTGTGGGCTGAGGGCTGCCTCTCCCTACCACACAATGGTTTATTCCATGGCCCTAGCCCAAAGCCCTGACTCAAGATAATTCCACAGGCAGGGCTGGGCTTCCTTGAAAGCAGATTAATTACCATGGGGACCAGCCAGGGAGAAGAGGGGTTTAGGGAGGGTACAGCCTCCCTGGGTCCACCTCCAGGTCCACCCCTCCCAAGCCAAACAGATGAGACCTGGAAACAAAGCTGGCATTTCCAGCAGGCATGGCTAGTCATTGCTTTTATTTATTTGTTTATTTTTTGAGGCAAGGGCTTGCTTTGTAGTTTACGCTGGACTTGAATTCACTATATAGCCTGGCTGATGTTTGGGCCAGCTCATGGTAATCCTCCTGCCTCATTCTCCCAAGTTCTGGGATTACTGGCATGTACCACAATGCTTGGTCCCTAATTTTAATCAGTGCGTGAGGTGAGAAAAGCAAAGGTGCTGGTGCCACCATATGGCTGGGTGTGAAGGACCTCAGCCACAGTCCATCTCAGCGTCCTCCACATCAGTCTCCATGCCACAGAGGTCATCCAGGGCTGCCTCTGGCCAAAGGAAGAGGATTGTTTGACAGCTAGAAAGCACAGGGTCTGGGCAGGTCCCCCCCGTTCCCCCTAGCACCAGCAATAATCATCCAGTCCCGTGTCCTGGCCTTGCTCCCTCAGCTACTACAAGCAAAGTGGCACAAAGGCCATTCAGATCTAGGTATTTCTGGAAAAACCATGGCTCAGCCAAGCCAACACAACAGATAAATGTAAATGGCAGCCCAGTCTACCCAGAAAAGAGCGAGAAGCAGCAGTTCCCAGTAGCAGAAAAGACTGGTGGGAGGAGGTGCGGAAGCCTGCTACAGGAGAGGAGGTAGGCCTGCTCTGCAGCTTTGGGGACAACCACCTGGGGGGCTCACCTTCACAGTCCATCACATCTGGGAGCCCTCGAATCAGTGTGCTGACCCCAGGCATCACCTGGTCATACTGATGCAGGACTTCCACACAGTGCACAGTGAAGAGCTTGTCTTTCTGGGACAGGCTGTGCAGCAGCAGTACCGTGTCACGCAGGCAGCGTACGGTCCGCTTCTGCTGCTCAGTCTTTGGGGACCCCCCTGCCCTCCGCACAGTCAGCCACTGTCGGTGCAGCATCACTGTGAGAGCTCTGACCACCTGAAGAAAGGACAAAGACTGAGGCTTCCCTGTTTCCTGCACCCTCACACTGTCCAGAGGAGCAGGGTTCTGGGTGGGATGCAGGCTCCTTGCACAGGACCCTTCCCTACTCACCTCTACATTGCACTGGCAATCAGAGCCAGTGACTGGGGAGGAAGAGCTCTGCACACCCAGCTTGGACAGCAGCCACACCACCTGGAGCAGGACAGATTCTGTTCATCACAGGGCTTTCTCAGGGCTCTCCTACAGGAGCTCAAGCTGCTTCAGCAACAGCCAGAGTCAGGAGATAGCAGTAATCAGGCAACTCTGCCAAGTTCTGTGACAATCTGGGGCTCACCTATATTGAATGTATGGGAGCCTCCAAAGTTCACTTGTAGTTGCTTGATAAACTTTTTTCAGTGTCAGGGATTGAACCCAGGGCCTTCACACTGAGCTATATCCCCAGCCCCTTTACTTTTTTTTAGATGGGGTCTCATTAATTTGGTAAATTGCCCAAGCTGGGCCAAACTTGCAATCCTCCTGCTTCAACCTCCCAAGTGCTGTGATTATAGGCATGCTTCACTATACCTGATTTTGAGAAATTGTTGTAAAAAATGAATTACAACTGGATATGGTGGTGCACACCTGTAATCCTACCACTCAGGAGGCTGAGGCAGGAGGATCGCTGCGAGTTCAATGCCAGCCTGGGCTACGTGTCGAGACCTCATCTCCAAAGATATTTTTGTTTTTTTAAAAAGCTCTTTTTGTTCAAGAAAGGAGTAAGGTAAGCATGGGCTCTCAGGATGGGATGGGGTAGTGAGACTCCAGTCTCATATTTACCTCCTGTTCCAGCTGAAGCCACTGTGTCTCTGAGGCGCCCTTGTCAGGCCTTGAAGTGATGTACATGTACAGCAGGAGGAGGAGGCAGCCTTCTGAAATGGACAACCCTCACTCACTCAGGGTCCCCTTCCTGCCCAGAGCTTGGGCTCAGAGCTCCAGAACCCCTCAGGAATTTGACCCAGTTGCCCTGTCCCGCCACTCCCTTCTTCCCTCCCTTGGCAGATGCAGGCAGATGCCCACCATGCCCTCTTTTACCCGAGTGGGAACAGAGCTGCGATGCCAGGCCCTCGTGGTCCACCAGGAGAGAGAGCAGCTCAACTGTCAGCAGCACACAAGGCAGGGGTGTCTCTGGGCTGAGGAACCGTGGCAGCACTGGCAACACACAGTGGAACCTGGAAGGTGTGCCAGATACATGACAGTCCCCCAAAGGAGACTGGCTTGGAAAGACTTGGGTTTAGCTGCTGGCCTGACCACCGTCCCCTTGCTATGAAGCTGTGAACGCGTGGGTACCAACCTTCACCACAGGCTAGGTCCTTGCCTAGTGCTGCAGTGCCCAGTAAATGGGGCACTCCCTGTGCCTGGGAAGCCTGGCCTCCACACTCCAGGCTCTTCCCTTTGTCTGCTCCCAGGGAGGGGGCAGATTATAATTCTGGTGTGAGAGAAATATCCTTTGCCTACCACTGGGACTAGCCAGGGCTCTAGAAGTGACACAGGGACCTGGACATGGCTGAATCTCATGAGAAAACTCAGCATGAAGACCATCCTCTGCTTGTCCGAAGACACTGAGATCTGCTGCCAGTGGGAGGAGGGGCCTAATGAGAGGTGTGCGTGGGTGAGGGGCTCTGGAACACTCTCCCCCAGGTCCTGGGCAAGGGGATGGCTGTAACCAAGAAGCCAAGTACACTGAGTTCACTCAGTCCACATAACCTGCAGGACCATGAGGGTAAAAATGGCCATCTACACCAGCCAGCTGCATGTGCCCTTCTATACCTGGGGTGTCACAGTGATGAGTGGTGACGCATGCTAGAGGTGGGCACAGTGCTCACACACAGACTCCAACAGTCAGGCTGTGGCTGCAGACAGCCCTACATCCCTTATTCACATCTAGGCTTCAAAGGCCTCTTGGTACAGCCCTTGTCCTAGGCAGGACATACTTCACAGTGGCTAGCAGCCTTTACACGTCTTGATTATCAGCTATTCAGAGGCAAAATTAAACCAATAACCACTTCCTTGGTTTTCCCAAAACCTGGCCTCACTTCCCATCACTTTAGAACTCCCTGGATCAAGCCTTTGAGATAAAGAGTGGAGCTAATTAACTCACATGGTAGCAAGGCGAGGTGTGTTGGGGCATGCCTATAGTCCTAGCACTTGGGAGACTGAGGCAGGAGGATTACCTTGAGTTCAAGGCCAGCCTGAGCTGCATATGAAGACCTTGTCTCAAAAACAAAACAAAAAACCACACTAACAAAAACAAAGATGTGAGAAAAGTGTAAGGGCTTTAAGAGGTAAAGGAAAACTCACAGAGAAGCATGCATTCCATGCTGCTTTATACCTGGGCAAGAAATCAGAGGAAGCATTTTCAGCTAATTTCACCAAAACCTTGAGACACTGGCTCAGGACACTGGCTTGAAGGTGACCTCCTGCTGCGGAAGAGAAAGCCAACAGGTGAAGAAGCATCTTCAAAAGTGGATGCTGTCCTTGGTCTTCGGCAGCCTTCGTAGGGGCTGAGATAATATCTCCACAAGTCTGTCTGTGAACCAGGCTTCCGTTTCCTTCCCCAGAAGAAGCATCTGCCTCCACTTCAGACAGTAATAGGCAGACGACTGCTCCGCTGTGGCACACCAGGTGCTGAAGAATGCTAAGTGAAGCCACAGAGAAGCCTTCCAGGTTGCAAATCAAGTCCTCAGGGTTGGCCTCCACCCCGGAGCCCACACAGGAGGTATGTGTTGGTGAGTCCCCAGATGCTCCACTCCTCTTAGCCACTGCTAACTCCTGCAAAGCCTGGCAGTGTAGGCCAATGAAGAACTGTATGAGGGGAAGGAGGTGCACGGCTCCAGGAAGCTGGCAGAGTGGGAAGGCCCTTCTGGCTCCCTCTGCTGGGTCTCCATCACATGAGCCTTCATTCCTGGCAATCAGATTCAGTCCAGTGAATGCCAGGTTCTGTGCTTCTCTCAGGGATGAGGGGGAAAATGCCCCACTGCGAGAACCTGTGGTTCTGAGGCCTGAAATCACAGCCAAGATACTGGCAACAAACAAAATAAAACAGGTAAGGTCAAGGGCCCCAAATTGCCTAATTTTCCAGTCTCCCTGCACATCCCACAGACCTCCCAGGCTGGGCAGGGACAGAAAGGAGCTTGTTTCCTGGAACCTCCTTTCCAAATAAGCTTTCCAGGAGTCTCATGCTTACCTGCCAAGCCCCAGAGGCTGCAAGAAGTTGCCAGTAGGAGCCTCAGAACAACTGCTCAGGAGGTGGCAAAGACCTACAGTTGACCCTGAGATCAAAGGCTGCTTCAGCAGTAGGCTTATCAAAATGGAACCTATGGAAGACAAAGCAGCTACAGAAGGTTCTGACGTGGGAGAGCTTTTCTATAGCTTCAGGAGGAAAAGCTGAAGATTCTTTGAACATTAAGCTGCCCCTAAACCTGTTAAGATGCCTGTGGGTGCAGAAGACTCTGGGACATATCTGCTCTTGGCCCTTTTCATTTTTCTCCCACTGGGCCTTGCTATATTACCTAGGCTGCCCTTGAACTGCTAGCCTCAGGCAATCCTCTTGTTTTAGCTCCTGAGTAGCTGAGATAACAGGTGCATGCCACTGAGCTTAGCTTGGCCTTTCCATTTTATAGTTTTATCCTTAAGCTTTCAGCTGACTGTGGTCGCACATGCCTTTTAATACCAGCACTTGGGAGGCTGAGGCAGGAGGATTGTGAATTTGAGGCCATTCTAGGCAGCTTAGACTAGCAAGATCGTCTCA